AATGCTTGTAGATGGATGGACATCGATAATCATGCTATGTAGAATAAAGAAAGATGTAAATTGTGGTGTTTAGTCTAATGGAAAATTTACGTTCTTTATTGACTCATTGTCTTTGCTATCTGCCCGTCATTGTTTTACATTGCTGTATTTTCGCTCTCAGATTGTTGGGTGGATGTCATCGAATTATTTGGAATTCAATTGATAGAAGAATTTTGTCAATTTTTTTTTTTTTAACAGCAATCTAAGTTTGTTGGCAGAGATTACTATTACAAAATTTGGTTGTTTGATTGGTTTGTTTGCTTACATGGTTCGTTTACTGAGTGAGGGGAAACAAATTTGTAGTAGGATCGAAGTTCTTGCTTAATGTTCCTCAATTGACAGTAGCTAGTAAACAGCGAACCTGATGCCCTAAAGGAATTTTACTCTTTTTTTTATGAATAAAAATGTTAAAAGGAATTTTACTGTGATTGTCAATAATTACTAATCATTGATGAGAAACCGTCTAGAAAATTGATTCAGGCTCTAAATTTAAGATTGCAAATTTGAATTTTACGTTAAAATACATCTAGTCATTTGCCTTAATGTTCCTCAATTGACAGTTTGTTGGTATAGTCATCTCTTATTCTGATGAGCATGTTCATCTTCCTTTGCTGTCATGAAAACTAACTGTTAAATATCCACTTTAGTCCTCAACTTTTATTTTTGAACCAAACTTATTCTTAAATTTTAGAAAGTATTAAAAAAATCTTCAAACTTCAAAGTTTTAAAGTAATTTTTTTAACATATTAAAATTATTTACAAATATTAATTAGAGAAAGGAAAAAAAAGATTTCGTAAAATTCAAACAAACACACCATTCACAAAAAGCAATGACTCTAAGGGCCTGTTTGGTATAATAGTTAAAATTCAGCGGATAGCGGGTAGCGGGTAGCGGGTGGCGGTAAGCGGATAGCGGATGGCGGATAGCGGAAAGTGGGTAGCGGATGGTAAATAGCGGATTCGATAAATATAACTGTTTGGTTATACAATAGTT